GCTCTAAAATTTGAACAACCTGAGTTTAAGTCATTAGGAGGGAAGGAGCAATGCAGAGAAAACAAATACTTGCCCTGATTAAATGAGGGTACTGAGAAGAGGAAAGAGGAAAACAACTTTTATGTCTTATTAACAATGGTAGTGTGTATATATGAGTCTGTGTACAAAAGAAGGAAAGGAGGTAACATTTAAATACTCAGAAAGGCAATGGATGATAGTGAAAGGGCTCACGAGAATGTGAACATCTTGTGACTAAAAACTGTGACTAAGATCCAAAAAAATAGGAAATTATGACACTTGGTAGTCATCAATAATAAATGCCTTTTTTTGTGGTACAGGGGTTTGAACTCAGGGCTTTCACACTTGCTTAAGCCACACCTCCAACCCTTTCTGCTCTGATTATTTTGGAGATAGGGTCTCATTTTTTGCCCAGGTCATCCACGACTTTGATCCTTCTATTTTACACTTCCCACCATACCTAGGATAGGTAAAATTTTTTGCCCAGGCCAGCCTGGAACCAAAATCTTCTCGATCTGAGCCTCCTGTGTAGCTTAGAATGACAGGTGCCTGCCACTGCACCCAGCTATTGGTTGAGATGGGATCTTGTGAACTATTTCCCCAGGCTGGCCTCAAACCATGATGCTCCCAATCTCAGCCTCCCAAGCAGCTAGGATTACAGGTATGAGTCACCAGCACCTGGCTAGAATGCCTTCTTTTAAGATTTAGAAATGCTTAAAGGTTTATTAATCACTTTTCATTTAATCATATGAAACCAAAGTATTTCCTGGAAGAAGCAACTCTTTTTTTTTTGTTTTGTTTTGTTTTAGAAACAGCTTAAGAGTCTAACTGTGACTGCTGGGGAGTACAATCTCTCTCATAAAGAAGAGCAAGAATAGAATATTCCTGTCTAAAAATTATTATACATCCTGAGTATAACCACCTGGGATTTATGAATTCTGATACTGTACTGCTATATCTAAAACACGAAGTGAAGTTTGGTAAGTACAGAAATTTAAAGTTTTAGGAACATAATGAACTAAACTGTTTATGAAAAGGTTAACTTTAATTCTTGTGTTACACGTCTAGTCATAAAATAGTTAAGTTCTGTTTCTTTTTTGCAAATAATGTTGTTCCAGTCTAGAACCTTTAAAAAATAAAAATTACCATTTATGCCAAGTCCCCAGCCACAAATTATGTATGTTCAACTTAGCAGTCAGCATTGTAAGTATGCCTGTGTCTTGGCTGAGCTGTATTCTAGACCATCTTCCATATTCAGCTCTAACCAAGGGTTTGGGACATTAGAAACTATCTTCAGACATTTCTTTTTTCTGTCATCACTGAGAACTAAATAAACACCCAACACACTCAGCACAGATAATCTAAACCTAACAGGTTTGAACTATCTACTAGAGTTCCAAGTCGTTCAGATGTTCACTTCCACCACTCTAGATTTGCCCCTGGCTAGTCACCAGTAACTCCAAGTCACTGAATCCAAGGGTAAAAAATTCTCATTCTTGTTTTTCTTGATGGGAGATTTCTTTTAATTAAATCAGAGTTGGGCATACTCTCTTCCTGTATATCTTTTCTTCACTCAAAATTCCAGGAGTCCCTTTGTTTTTTCTCCTCTCCCTTTATGCCCTTTCTCAATCTTCTGTGATGGTTCTTGATCTTCTCTGTCTTATTGTTGGAGTTCTCCAGGGCTCAATCCTGGACTTCTTCTCTACCCAGCTCATTCTCTTAGTGGTCTCATCCAGGCTCAAGGTTTTAAACACCAGCTACCTGAAAACTACTCTAAGTGTTCTACAGCTATCTTACAAATCCTCCTGGAGTTCATGAGACTCATGTATCTAACTCTCTACTGGTCACCTACCTGGATGCCTAACACCATCTCCAACTTGATATGTTTAAAACAGAACCTGAATTATACCCCCAGATCCCCCTGCATCTCAATTAATGACAACTCCATCCTTCCAGTCACTAAAGCTAAAAACTTTGAACTCATTCTTGATTCTTCTTTATTCTTTTTTGTAATACATCAGAAAATACTGTTGTTTCTATCTCACCAACTTCACTCTCTCTTGTTCCAGGCTGTGCTATCATCATTTCTTGCCTGGGTTAATTTTAATAATCTCTTCAAGTGTCTGAAATGCATCCCTAATATATATATTATTAATTCAGTAGCCAGAATGATACTTTTAAACATGTAAATCAGATGATGTCATTCTGCTCAAAATACTTCAATGGGTCCCCATTACACTCAGATGAAAATTAATGTTATTGTCATCTGACATTTCCTTTTTCCAGTTCCACATCTAACCTCCATTTTATTCATCTTTTGATAAACTTCCTTTTGCTTAATCTGCTCCAGCTAACCTGGCCTCTTTGCTGTCCCTCCCCCACCATCATATCTGGCATGATCCTGCTGTGAGGACCTTCCTTTCTGCCTCTTCATCAAATACTTTCCACCCATCCGGATAACTGCATGATCCTTTCCCTCAGCTTTAAGACTCTGCTCAAATGTAAACAGCACAAGGAGACATGCCATGACACCATATGGAAAACCATATCTCCAGTGCCCTCCTCCCAGACTGCTTATTTTCTCTACCCTGCTCTGACTTCTGCAGAGAGTATCTTACCCAGTATGAGTAGTTTACTATACTTGTTGTTTGTCTCTTCCTCACCAAGTATATACACACTTACTTATTCGCTCATGCTTAAACTCTACCAGGACAGGAGGGTTTTATTTTATTTTTTCCTACTCCTTCATTGAGTCCTAGAAGGGTCCTCACTACATGTTAATGCTCAGGACAAGATGTTAGTAGTTTGGGTGGGGGTCATGGTGGTATGCAGAACAATGAGTTACGTTTTTCCTTATTTTGCTTTTCTGAATTTTCTATCTTTGTATAATTATGAATGTTAAGCTTTCCTCCTTATAATTTTATTTAAAAAGTGAAAAGCCATGAAATCAAACACACTTCACTTTTCCAAATCTATTTGGCATCATTTGTCTCTCTGTGAACTTCATGGCTTCAGTTGTTGTTTCAGGAACCACTGTTCAGCCAGTCTGCCTTCCACATGGGGCTGATAAATTTGAACCAGAAATGCTTTATGGGACCAGTGGATGGCAGAAGACTTCAGAGAGTAAGAGGCACCAAAAGTCCATAATACTGTTCTAGGTCTCTGCATGCTTAGGGGAAGCAGAAATGATTTTGTTGGCCATAAGTGATACATTTATCCTTGTTTTTCTAATTTCTGAGCCAGTGAAGAGCTTTGGTTGTCTTACTCATTTTTTTTTTTTGGTGTTGATACTGAGGTTTGAACTCAGGGCTTCACAACTTGCTAGGCAGGTGCTCTACTACTGGAGCCACTCCACCAGCCCTTTTTATGTTGGGTATTTTTGAGATAAAGTCTCTCAAACTATTTGCCGAGACTGGCCTTGAACCTTGATCCTGCTGATCTCTGCCTCCTGAGTAGGTAGGATTATAGGCATGAGCCACTGGCAGTCTTGTTTTTTGCTGTCATGTTGGTTAGATATTTTAAATAAAGGAAACTGGTGATAACTATGATACATAAAAGAAGATTACACTAAAAGTAATCAGGAAATAGTAACATGACTGTAGTCAATGACAGTGTACTTGAAATTTGCTTGGAGAATAAATCTTAAGTATTCTGACCACAAGAAAAAAGGTGACCATAGGTGATTTGTGACTTAATTTCTTCATTGTGGTAACCATTTCACTGTTATACATATATCAGAACATTACATTAAATACTTTGAATAATTTTTGGTCAGTTGAATCTCAATAAATCTTGAAAATTTTACACTTTTTAAATAAAGAATTTTACAAAACATTGCTTTGATATCTAAAGTTTTCTCTCGGGGAAACATTTAAGCATATATTCAGAAAAGCCACAATTGCCTGTTACCTTCAATCTGCAGCAATTTCTTTAAAATGCCTTCTCTCTATTGCATATTTGATCTTAAAATATGCATTCATGCTAAAAGTAACCTCTACACTTGGTTAAAATGTTTGAAATAGTTTTAAACTTGAGGGCTAATTACTACTTTGCCTCAATTAGGATGGTTGTTGGCTAACTTGCCACCCTTTCTCTACAGCATCAGAATTCTCGAATGTTTACAAGTAGAAGTTGTCATCATGGATGACAGCATGTATAACACTGTACTCAGGATATGAAGTAACCCCTCTGGGAAGGGCCCTGCTGTGTGCTGGCTTTCCTGGCGGGGAGCCAGATGCCTACTAGGTACCTAAGCAAGAACCAGCCATTGCTTCTAACAGGAGGGCTAATGTGGGTGGATTACCGCCTTCCCCAGGAAGCTGAGCTTGAGGAGTTACTGCTTCAAAGTTCCTTTTCCTTCATCTTTCCATGTGTTTCTGCTAAAAAAGATTGGTTGGCCTGGGCTGAGAGAATTCTTTACCTTCTTATACCCATTTCCTCTTTACTTTGCTGAGCTGGGGATAGGGTAACTTTCAATGTGTCCCATAAGCAAGATGACAGTCTTGGAAATCTAATTACTCCATCTGTGAGTTAGTCTTTATTTCACATTTTATTAAATGCTATGGTTTTTTTCCTTTCATACAGAATATGTTTGACCAAAGATGCATCGTTTTAGTTACTGTTGGGTAGGAGATATTGGGAATGAGTGTGATTTCCCAAGACTGACCCAGCAACATCACAAATACTGCCAATCTCTATGAGACACAGAGAGGGATGGGAAACCAACTTGTAAAAGACATGATTTTAAGCTTTATATAATTTTCTTCACTATTTTTTTTAAGGTGGACATCAGGGAGTCATTCTTTTCATGAAAGTAGCCTGAAACTGTTGTGGAAAGCTCCACGAATTATTTGTTAGAAGAAATTTGAAGGGAGGCGCTAGAAACCGATGTCATTTTCTAAATCAGATCACGAGTAGGCTAAAGGGGCTTTGTTCTATCAGCATCCATTATAAGATGGATCCATTTTTTGGATAAAGGTCTCAAAATACAATTTTTGAGGTACTCTTGGCATGCCTGGACCCTGATATGAAGCCCGGGCTGGCCTTAAACTCCCAATTCTCCTTAGTCCTAGGATTACAAGTATGTGCCACCGTGCCTGCCGCTTCTCTGCCTTTTGAGGAGAGTTTATTCAGACGTAAGATTGTCTAAATCATGTTTTCAAAGAAACACGTTTCAAAAAAATGTCACTCAAGGCAGGAGCCTAAAATCTTGGGTCCTGTATTCACCAGCATTGGGAGATAATGTGGTCCTTTACTCACCCTTCCCCCTGCCCAGGATAGAATTAGGTTTCCCAGGCCTCCTGTTTTTTAAAAGCTTTGAGCCTTTACAGACCTTGGGAGCTCTATCCACTGACACTGTAGGCTTGGGAGATGACCTAACCTCTCCCAGCAATTCCAGATGACAAGCGGCAGTAGACACATACAGCCATACCACCACCCCCTCTTCCTTCCATTGTTTTTTGGAATGTATATACTAGTTTTTTGAAATGGTAGATAGAAGAGAAAATTTGAGTGTTAGTCTAAAAAGATTGTAGCCATAGGTATAAGGATATTAGTTCTGGGTGAAAAGATCATACCTTGAAACTAATGAAGAGGAAACATGAAATGGATGAAGAAAATGTAGATGGACAGTGACTGTGGACTTGTACCTCTTTCCACTGTGAGACGAGTGCTGATGTCTGCAGAACTGACAATGACTTAACATGTGTATCTCTTCACATTTTCTTTCTTTCTGTGCTGTGGAAGAGGGACTCTGGAAGACCCCTAGTTTGTAGAAGAAGTAGTAGAACATGGACTCTCGCCAGGATAACTTCCTGGGTAGCTGGTTTTGCTAAAGGCTCAGGTCCTCTAAGAAATAACTGCAGAATAACATCAGCAGGCATCTTTTCTGAGGTGGCTGAGTTCATGGATTTTATCATTTAAAATATAATCACAGGTAAGAAATTCTTTCTTTCCCATTTCATTCCAAGTCAAAAATTGTTGATGCCTGTCTCAAGAGTAGTCAGTCTAATATGTTGTGATAGAATCACAATTAAGCAAAGATATAAATTCTTGGGCTGGTGCATATAAGCTTTTGTATCAGAATTCATGACCATTGATACCATCAAATTAACTCAAAGAAACTGAATCCCTATATAAAATTTTCATGAGCTGTGTCATTTTCAGTTTATGAGCTTTTAAAAACTGCCCATGAAAAAAAGACTCATCTAGAAAGAGGGTTCTTTCTTCATTTGTTCAGTTGACTGTTTTTTCCTCTATACTACAAATAAGCCACTCCTTTCTCATTCCTCCCATTCAGCCTTGCTAATTTTCCTTGGCAACTAGAGGGAAGTTGTCAGTGGAGGAGCTATGAGGAGTTATTTTGTTCAGTAGCTCTGGAATCAAGAGTAGGAAAATGTGGGTGTGGTGATGCCAAGTGCATCCTCTAGGACTGGTCTAACTACTTGGGAAAAAAACAAGTAATTAGACGGTTGTGATAAAAGGTGAAGTATAGATAGACCCAGATGTAAGAGCACTGAGCAGGAGGAGTCTGGGAAGCATGTGTCAAGCCTAGAAGGGCTACTATGGGAAGGGGGAACTGGGAAACCTCTACCCGAGGTGTGAGGGAGCACAGCCTCCAGGAGCAAGCAGTTTAGTATGGGAACCCAGGTTTTAAAGGCCAGGACCCAGAGCAGTGGAACATAGTGTTCCCTCCATCTGTCACTTGGTGTCACAGGCCAACCAGCTTGCTAAGGACTAGAGAAACTCTGTAGTCTTGGCCAAGCCACAGGGCAGCACCTCCTCAGAGCAGGAGAGTGAGCACCTACTTTCTCACCTGTAGTGATCATATTCCATTTTGACCATCTAGAAAAGAAAGGTGAAAAGGTTAACACATCCTCAGCAAAGGCTGATGACAGAAATGGAATTTCCAAGGGCAATGACATCAAGCAGTCACAGCCAATCCCACAGTCAAACGAGCATGGGAATGTGATCATTTATTTAAATAAAACTGCCTTAAGATTACCTTCCTAAGAGTCTCATCCTCCATTTGTCTATTGCCTTTCTTCTCTACTCCCTAACCCCCATGACTGGATGTGCTTTGGAAATAGGGTTAAATTAGGTTTTCTAAACCCTTAAAAAATCAGATGAGTTGGAAGAAGACATCAGGAGAAAGCAAATATAAGGATGGCACCATATTCATATTGTTTCAGTTTTTTGTTGTGTTTATTTATTTGTTTTGAGTTTAAACTTAAAATATCCTGCTTATATTCATCTATTGAGCTTCCAACATTTCAATCCCAACATTGGCATCTGAGAATTTTAAGTAAATGAAGCATTGCTGTGCCATGGCTCAAAGTTGTATGTCACTATCCAATCACATTTTACCTAGGACATCTAGAAGAAAGGGAAAGACTAGGTCAGTAGCATACACTCTAAGTTGGACAGCCTCAGTGGAATCATGGTTTGAGAAAGTTGGGTAAATGTTGAATCTGAAGAACTTTGCTAATAAAAAGAACTCTATGATGTGGAAGTTTTCCTAAAGACTGTTTGCAAATGTCTAGATCATAGTCTCTAAGAACAAATACATATCCACAAATATAAATGAATTTACATAGCTTTAGGCTGGCCTCTATGCTATTTTGAAATGTTGTCCAGAAATAGGGCACATCATCAGCTTCTTTCCCTTGTTTTTGAAGATTGTAAACATCAGATGACAGTGTTATTTGGAGAAAGAAAGAAAGAAGATTCATTACCCCTATTCCAAAGAAGATACCTGTCCTTATAAGTGGTATGTATCCCAGGTAGGAATGATTCTCCTTACCCCCAAATCAGACAGTTAAAGTGACTATATTTTGCCAATTTTATCTAGTATTTCAAATTCTTTATCTGGTTTGAATACAAGTAATATATTTTATCAGATATTTTCTGGTTGGCCAATATTTACTAATTGGTATTGCTAAGACTCATTATTATAAACCATCAACCTAAATAGTATTAATTCTAAAGCTTACCAGAATTGATAAGTTCAAATACATATTAAAAGCATCTGGGCCAAGCATGGTGACTTACATCTGTAATCCCAGCTACTCAGGAGACAGAGATTCAGAGGCTCTCAGCTCAAGGCTGTTCCAGGCAAAAGGTTATCAAGACCAATAAGCCAGGCTTGGTGGTGTATATCTATCATCCCAGGTACATGGGTGGCATAGGTAGGAAGACTTCAATCTGAGGGAGAGCCTTAGGCAAAAACAACTAACTAACTCAATAACTAAAAGCAAAAAGAGCTGAGGTGATGGCTCCAGTTCTTTCTGTAATCATAGTAACATTTTATTAAGTATCTCATAGAAGATGGAAAAGTTCTATAATCTTGAATATCTTAAATTTTTTCCTATATTCCCAGTCTTGTGTTCAGCTAAAGATATCTTTGAGCTTTCAAGATTGGTTTTGTTTGTATCTCATTTTCTTAAGTGATGTAAATTCATTTGAAGAATTATATTATCTTTGAAAGGTATACAAAGGAACATGGCAGCTATATGAGTTTGTAAATCTGGTAGGAAGAGGGAATGTGATAGAAACAACTATACTATACTATACTATACTATACTATACAAGGGGAAACTAAACTTTATAATCCACATTACTCAAGAATGTTGGTACTATGAGAAATGGAGATGGAGTCTCATTGGGAGATTCAGGAAGAAGAATTCCTTATAAAATGGGTGGCAATGAAACTAGGTGTTGAAGCATGGCTACCATTTTAAAGCTCATGAGATCCTTCGTCACTAAGATTTCAACAGATGAAGACAAGAGATGAGGCCATTATAAATAAGCAAAGGGAATTATGTATAAGCAATGTCAAAGAGGTGGAAACATCAGGGTTACCTGGGCTGTGAATACTCAGTGTGGCTTGAAAGCACTGGGAATGGGAACTAGTGTGGCAGTGGATGGGGATAGAAAGGATGGTCATGCTGGCAGAGTGGCTCAAGTGGTCCAGCCACCTGTCTAGCAAATGTGAGGCCCTGAATTCAAACCCCAGTGCAACCAAAAAAAAAAAAAAACAAGAAAGAAAAAAGATGGATAGTCAGGACATAATTGGAAAGAACCTTGAACTCCTTGTGAAGAAGTCTGGGCTTTATGCCATAGCCAATAGGTAGCTAAAATGATTAAAAGATTTTATTTAAAAAAAATAAGTATTTCCAGGATAGAATGGGGAAATGGGACTTAATCTCAATCCATATTTCAGAGGCTTGAAGGACTAAGCTGACATTTTAATGTGTCAACCTGTAATAATAAGAGATCAGTAAAGCTTCTGCCATCTTTGCTTAAACTGTTAGAAGAATAATGTCCAAACAATAGTGAGAGTTCTATTTTATAGTCTCAGAAGGAGATGACCTCTTGGCATCATCTCTAGACAGGGACATTGATACACCAGATATATCTGAATCTGAAGACACTGATTAAGATAGAGTGTGCGTGTGTGTTCATGTGATGCTGGGGATGGAATCCAGGAGCAGGTGGATGTTAAGAACCTACTCTTCCACTGAGCTACATCTCCAGCCCAAAGATAAAAATTTTAAACAATGTTTTGAATTTAAATATTTTGATTCAAATAAGACTGAGGAGGAAAAAGGCACTGCCTTGATTTATCTGCAAAATTCCTAGAGAAACAGATTGGACTTGTGACTGATTATAGAGCAGAGAAGTGATATCACTGGGCAGAAATTATGAGAAGATAGATTTCAATTCACAGTGAGTAGTTTCTAATTTGAGAGATGTCTGAGCCTGACCTACCTCAGCAGGTAACTTAGTAAGTGTGAGTTTGAGCCAGCTGTTTGTATTGGGTAAGAGCCATGCAGGGGTTAGTTCACTCACTCTCAAACAGAGAGACTCAGGCAATAAGTACTGTGAAGATCTCTGAGAGAGTTTTAAGACAAACAGGTAGTTATTAGTGTTGGATATTTCAGAAGTCAAATGAATTCAGCTTAAGTGCCATTCCGTGTGAAAATTACAAATTTTGAAAGCCAAGTCAGCTGAACACTAAGATCAGAAGCCATATTTATAATGGGTTACATGATGGTTGAAGTCATGAGTTTTTTTTTCTTGAAACTTTAAGATGTGTCAGATAGTGGTGAACAAAACACACACAAGCACTTGCTTTTGTGGGGTGAGTTGGAAGAGGCAATGAGGTAATAAGAATGTGATAATAACAGTAGAAGGTGATGAATGCTACACAGAGAAACAACACAGAAATCATTGCAGAGTGTTGAGGTATGCGATACCAGAGTAGTCAGGGAAGACTTTACTGTAGAGATGATACTCTAAGCAAGACTGGGGTGAGGTGAGGACAGAATCAGATGGTCATTTTGGAAAGGAACACTCTAGGCAAAGGAACGGTAGTTGACACCTTTGTGTAATGGCAGTGACACCAGAAAGCTAGAATTGAGTGAGAAGGACAGTGACTAGAGTGCCATCAGAGGATTTTAACAGAAGAGGGGTGGGATCTGACGTTTTATAAAGGATTGCTTTAGACATTGTGTTTAAAATAGACTGTAGATAGGTAAGCCCAAGAGCTGGGAGACTACTTCTGCAACAGTCCAGGTAAGGAGATGATAACTCTGACTAGACCTGTAGGAACAGAGGTGGTGAAAACTGGTAGAACCACAGGGTTTGATGAATTGAAAGTTTGGGTTTTGAGAGACAATGAGTGCCCCTGTGAATGACATGAGGGTTTCTGACCAAGCTTTTAGAAAGATGCGACTCCTGCTGTCTGAGGTGAAGAAGGTGGGGCACTGGTTTTCAAGCAGTGGAGTCAGAGGAGCATTTTGTTTGGTACAGAATGGACACAACTATATTTATGGGCAGAACAAAGAAGGTTTGGCTTTTGGAAAGAAGGAAGACTAATTCCTTTCCTGGGAAAGCAAGAAGATTAATTTATACAAAGTTGAAGAAATTTATACTAGACCTCTTAGTAATCTCATGAGAGTCCTATTGCTTTAAGTTTAAAGGATGAGGGCTGAGGATGTGACTCAAGAGGAAGAGTACCTGCCTAGCAAGTGCAAAGCCCTAGGTTCAAACTCCAGTGCCGCCCCTGCCCCCCAAAATAAGTTTAAAGGATGAAGTTGAGATTAAATAATGAAGAAGATATTAACTAGTTTATAGTGACCAAAATAAGTTGCCAACTAGAGATGAAAAAGGTGTTCACCATCATTACAACCCAGTTAGTATTGGCTTGAAGTTGTACTGTGTTTCAACAAATCTAATGTGAAGAAAAAGATTGAGTGTAGCATACGTTATTATTTTATGTACCACCAATATAGAAAACATAGTGCCCAAGATAGGTCAAATAAAACCGGAATACCGAAGGCTACCCTTTCAGTGTAAATCTAAATGAAGCGTGAACCCATACATACGGAAAGTTCCATGCCGCAGCTTATGTACTGGTTGTAGAGTGAGGTAAAATTCGTTCCTGAGATCCCAAATCTCAAACTAATACTCACGAAGGTCTACAGCCTAAATCTCACCACAAATATGATCCAAAACACCTCCAGCTGAACACTCAGCATTATAATGTTGATGAGTACTTCCAGGTGACTGGTAAAAGCCAGTGCAAATCCTTCCTGGAAGACCCTTCCTTCAAGGTCTGTGGGAATCATAAAACTCCACACTGTAAGATGCATTCTGATTTTATAGAAATGTTAAATGTGAAAACACATGTGTTTTGGAAATAAGGCATGAGGCCATTTCGCATAGTTTGTGACTTCTCCAGCATGTTAAGCAGACTCAAATAGTGAAAGGATAATATAAATTTCAAATGTTGCTAGTTAGGAAAGAGTAAGGGAGAAATAGACACATGAAGAAGGGGCAGGGGTCTCTACAGTTGCCAGTTCCCCCCCATACCTCAGCCCCTCTTTATTCTGATAGGAAGTAGCTAGACTCAGAAATTGTAGAATGGTGGCACCCAGGGTGCCCTCCTTCCTCCATGCCCATGATAGAGACTGCAGTTCTCAGGGCCTAGAACATTGATTGCCTGGCACATGCATGATCAGTAGATATTTGCATGAATAAATCAGTGATTAATTTTGGCACTCCTCTCTCACTTAACTAGACCTCAGAATCCTTTGAACACAGCAATCACTAACAGCATGTCATCTGAACCTACTTTCCAATTCTGAGTTAGACATTTTAAAGCAGATAATGTGATTAATATAAGAGTAAATACTGATCTTTGAAGTCATAAAGCCTAAACTAAAGTTCCAGTTATATAAGAGATTGGATGAGGCTTTTAATATCTATGCCAGTTTTCCCATTTGTAAAGGGAGAATAATTTCTCTTCTGCCCTCTGAGAGGGGTGGGAGAGGCTCATGAGGGATAATGGTTGGACAGTGCTTTTTCAATTGAAGTACTTAGAAAAGTGAGTTTGATAATATTTTAGGCAGTATATTGCTTTTAAGTGGAGGCTCTTAAAATGATTTTAATAATATTTAATCTGCCTACTTTTGTATTTGTGATTCAGGATGATGGAGCTGGTTAGAAAGAATAAAGGAAAAAGTTTCTGGTTAAGAAGTCCTTTGGCAGGACTAATAATCAGAATATACAGGGAACTCAAAAAACTAAACTCCCCCAAAATCAATGAACCAATAAAGAAGTGGGCAACTGAGCTAAGCAGAACTTTTTCTAAGGAAGAAATCCAAATGGCCAAAGAACATGAAAAATGCTCACTGTCCCTGGCCATAAAGGAAATGCAAATCAAAACCACATTAATATTCCACCTTAACAGGATAGCCATCCTGTTAGAATGGCTATCATCAAGAACACCAGCCACAGCAAATGCTGGTGAGTATGCAGGGACAAAGGAA